AGGTTAGGGTGGATTGGCCGTGCTAAATTGTCCCGTAGTGCCCAGGGGTGTGCAGGTTAGGGTGGATTGGCCATGCTAAATTTCCCACAGCGTCCAGAGATGTGCAGGTTAGGGTGGATTGGCCGTGCTAAATTGTCCCATAGTGCCCAGGGATGTGCAGGTTAGGGTGGGTTGGCCGTGCTAAATTGTCCCATAGTGCCCAGGGATGTGCAGGTTAGGGTGGGTTGGCCATGCTAAATTGTCCCGTAGTGCCCAGGGATGTGCAGGTTAGGGTGGGTTGGCTGTGCTAAATTGTCCCATAGTGCCCAGGGATGTGCAGGTTAGGGTGGGTTGGCCGTGCTAAATTGCCTTTCGTGTCCAAGGATGTGTAGGTTAACCATGGGAAATGCAGGGTTACAGGGATAGACCAAGGGGATCGGTCTGGGTGGGAGGGTCGGTGTGGACTTGTTGGGCCAAATGGCCTGTTCCCACACTGTGGGGATTCTATGACTTTTAGAGTTATCATATATAAGTATGATTAAACTAAATTGGAGAAAAATAAAGACAACAAAATTAAATAAATTGTGAAAAAGTTTTGTTTGCCTTGTAATATTTTTGATCATAATTTTTTGCATGATAGTTAAGCATTTGAGTTTCTTATTAAAACTCTAAATTAAAATAATGTTGGTAGGCAAGATAATTAAAGATAATTGAATGCCAGTGTTGAAAAGAACAATACAGAGTTATAGAGTTATACAGTTGTACAGCACACAAACAGACCCTTTGGTCCAACTCTTCCATGCTGTCCATATATCCCATACTGATCTATTCCCACTTTCCAGGACCTGTTTCCTCTTAAACATCATCAGGACCAAATACAAGAATATCAAATTCCAAACGATCACAACAATTTATACCAAAGGGGAGAATAACGCTGATTGCTTGGTAAGTCAGGTTGACATGCAGATGCAGCTTTGGAAATATGTTTCTCCTTTTGGTGACATCCACATACTGACCTACCAAGTGACTGCAATTAAGATTTGTTGCATGAAATCTGTATGATGCTGCTTCAAAAATGCTTCAATAAATGACTTCAAAGAATCACTATTGTGCCTCAGTATTTTTAGCATTAATACCGAACGAGTGCATTCCATATGCACCTCCTGTATCTCACCATGATCCAGTTTAAACTGCTGTCCCCATTTATTGAGAGAAAATAGACATAGCTTTGCAATGACTCACCGACCTGGTTCCTTAATTAATGCATTTGGGTTAAGCTGTCGTGTTCTGCTGCTGGTCTCTTGTTGCCTTTCTTGGCCTATTCCTTCTGTGCAGAACATCAGAACAGTGCATTCCTCTTTCGCGAACCAAATTCCCTCGATCTCCAAATTCTCAGAACCACATCGGGCATCAATTCATGATGAGTAGACATCTTCTTCACTTCCTGCATGTACTAAGATGAATTGTATTCGCATTAACTGAAATTCTACAGGGAAAAGTTAGCATCAGAGAAACCCAGTTCAAACTAGCTACTG